GGGAGCGGTGCTGAGACTGGGAACGGCGCCGCGAGCTAGAGTGGTGGTGGGACTCCCCGCAGGGAGTCTTCTTGCCGGTGCTGGGGACAAGTGCTGTGGAGATGCGGTTGGACGCATCAGCTATGCGGGCTTGCCTCAAGACAGTGCCACACACTACAGTGCTGGAGGCTTTTCTCAAGCGGTCAGGGACCATGGTGCCGTCATGGCGATTAAGTCCCTCGTGGGCTCAAAGGTGTCCAGGGTGGATGGCAGGTCCACATCCCCCACCACCTGACTCGGAGAGCCTTAAGAGCACTGGACTCAACGGCCCCCCCTTGCGGGGCCAAAGTAGACGGTGCTGGCTCCTGAACCTTCGGCGCTGGGTGCTCCTCTGTAGGATGCACCCCAGTGGCGACTTCCAGGGCGGCAGACCTCAGTGTAGGGTGTTGGTCCCTGCCCTGTTTCCTTCCAGTGCCGCTGCTGTAGCACCGGGGAGTGAGACCAGTGCCGTGCAGTCTCCACTGGCTTTGGTGCCGGGGAGTAATGGTGCTAAGTCTCTCTGTGCCCATAGTCCTTTCTTGGCACCGCTTCTCTTACGGAGGCCAGAGCGCTCCGCACAGAAGAACTCGGCACCAGATCCTGCCAGGCCGAGGCGGGCTGAGGTCTCAGAGCCGCCTCCATGAGGAGCTGTTTTAAACAAAAGTCCTACTCTTTTTTAGTTCTGGGACGGAACCCGTTGCAAATCTTGCACCGGTCCATCTGCTGCGCTTCCCCTAGACACTTGAGGAAAGAGTCATGGAGGTTGCCTCAAGTGTCTAGACTTGCAGGGTTTAAATCCTTGGGATTGAGGCATGCTCGAGTCCCAAGGGGGAACAGGAAAGTTGGGGTGGGGAACTCCCCACGCCTATACACTAAGATTTAAGTAACTATAAGCTATAGATTATTAAAACTATGAAAACTATATACACTGAGCTATAGAAGAACTAGGGGAGCACTTGCGAAAGCAAGCCACCTCAGTTCCAACGACTGTCACAGGCGGTAAGAAGGAACTGAGCCGGCGCCGAGTCGGCAGGGTCACATATTGAGCATCATGGAGGCGAGGCGCCACTCCAGCTTCTGGCATGGAGGGACTGAATTCCATGCTGATTTTTTGCTAGTAGCAGCCTGATGTGATTAGACCTGTAACTGGTTCTTGACCAACAACAATTATTAGGAATCAGCCATGGTGAAGTGAAAGCAGCTATTAATACATACACACACACAGAATTACACCTCTACACCGATATAACGCTGTCCTCGGGAGCCAAAAAATCTTACCGCGTTATAGGTGAAACCGTGTTATATTGAACTTGCTTTGATCCGCTGGAGTGCGCAGCCCCGCCCCCCCGGAGCACTGCTTTAACGCATTATATCCAAATTCGTGTTATATCGGGTCGCGTTATATCGGGGTAGAGGTGTATATAAATCAGAATTTAAGAAATGTAGAAAATTGATAAGGGAAGCAAAAGGAGACATCTATAGCCAGCGAGTTACGGTCAATAAGGAGGATGG